AAATGAACAAAACGACAACACAAGCTAACCAGTTATAAATGTTTTAAGAAAATAATGATTTGGGGGTAACGAACTGTGTTAGTAAATTAATGAAAAGGGAAGCTCATGAGTTTACTGTGCACCACCTATAATTACTCGTGAAAGCAAGACAGGTGAAAACATTTGGTAACTAAAGTGTACTGAAGAAATGTTGTGTAATATGCAGTAAGAAACTAATGATTGTATTTATAAATAAAAGAATCTACAGTTATATATTTGTCACACATTATTCTGAATAATTTATGAATGGATGAGAAGAAAGTTATTTTTGAAAGAAGAACATATTAAAGGAGACTGGCATGTTTTTCATAAATTAGTCACTCTGTATCTCCTGTCCACAAGTGAAACCAACACGTACTCAACACGTTGGATCGAGATTGTGTAAATAAACAAGTTGTAAAAATATTAAGTTGTGTTTACTAAAGAGGGCTACAAAGGGTTTTGTCTGAGACTTAATTAGCAAGGTTTAGAGGTTCTGGTAAGTATTGTTTTTTAAAGTCTTGACGGAGCCAGGATAGTTATTATCCCTGATTTCAGACTTTGTACTGTAGCATCATTTTAAAACCCATGCATGATGAGAGTGGTATTAATCTTCTTATTTATATATATGCAAGAGTGCTAACCAACATACTTCTAAACATGTGCAGCTAATCCTTAGATTATGTAATTAACGGTAGCATTTCATATTTGTTTTGTAAAAGCACATTGTTTTATTTAAATTAAAGCTATCTAAAATACAAGGAAATTACAACATGTATTAATTACCATTTCTGTAAATGTGACAGTGTAAGCCGAGCATTTGATTTATCAAAACCAGTGATTTACAGACAGAGGATTTCAAGACACAAAAAAGACAATGACAGAAACCTAAATACTGACGTTCTCAGGACAGTACCGAAGCAATGCAGAGAAACAAGAAGCAGAAAACAAAAGTACAGTAACATATAAAATAAAGAGTCAATACCACAACAACATTAAAACAAATAAATACAATCAACAACGTCACCTCTGCATCAATAATGTCTACTGATTTGTATATCCAGTGTTTAGCAACATGGATTAGAGGTATGGGGTATGCTTTTTCTGGGATTAGGGAAGTTTTAGTTCTATTTTCTTGCCAATGCAACTACACCATTTGTCATAACATTGTGTGACTTCAGGGTTCCTGACAGTTTTGACTCTTAATACATATTTTAGTTGCTCAATAAACTGAGATAAAAAACAATCCATATGAAACATCCTCTTTCCTGTTCCAATTGCAAAACACTTCAAATGTCTCCAACATGAAAACAGATATGATTTCAGTCTTTGTTCCTCTTAGTTTCCTGTGTAATTTATTTTATTCATTCAGTGCCCAGCTGCAGGTAATACCATTGTTTATTTTCTCTGTATTTTATTACCTCTAATCCTGCTTTTGTAAAGTGGACCCACTTTAACTGAGTGTCCTCCAAGCCCAAACATGCCCAGCATGTAGTGCAGATGCTTTATTTGCATTACAGGCCCTTACTAATCTACAGCTCTACATAATGAAGCAACACAAAACAGCCAGTACAGCACATAGACAATACATGCATGAGATTTTTATACAAAAACATCCAAGCATCCTACATCCTCCACTTGAAGAGTGGGATTGACATGAAAAGCTGCCATTTGTGTCTGCAAGGGAGTCAATGGTCAGCACTGCCAGACCATTGAGATTGCCGTGAATGTGTGAAAGACTTATTTACATCCTGGTGCTAGGATAATTTATATCCAGATGAGACCACTTGCTAATAACAATCAAAGGAAAAGCTGCACGGTTGTAATTTAACAGCAAGCTGGCAATAACCAGTGCATACTAAAATCAGTAACTTGAGTTAAAGTAGGAACATCACTTTAAAAATAGTAAAGCTTAATTCTGTACAGTAAAATAATCAAATTGTAGCTATGTAAACTACATACATTACAATGTTCTATTGCTGAAATATATCTGTGTACAACTACCCAAGTATTTTAGCAAAGTACATACTTGAATGTTCAATTTCTACTTCTACCTCTATTTAGTTTCTCAACTCGTTTCAGAAGCAAATAGTGTGCTATACAATCCAATCATATTCTTTGTTGCTTTATTTGGCAGCAATGTTTACTAGTTAATTTTAAGATGTAAACAAACATGCAATTTGCTTACTGTTTCATACCGGTTTGCTGTTTTCTAACCCACTTATAGTGGATTATTTATTTTTTTGTAGTGGGGCTACTTCTACTATGAAGATGATTGAATAAAGTGTCATGTGTAGTAAAGGGGATTATAGTAGATTCACATCATTTTGAAAGAAAACGTAACCGACAGTTCGATGTGATTATTAATTCACATGTGTGTTCTGCCAATAGAAGGGGGGTATTTTGTACACATATACAATTATTTTTGGTATAAATTGAGTGTGAACAGAAGTTGCCCATTGAAAAACTTCCTTAGCAAATGGAACTTGCTTCTTTCTTCCTTACTGTAGAAACTTATTTTTTAAGTCAGTGAACATGTGCATTTTCTCCCGTTATTCTCGTGACAGCTCAACCCCCCTCAAACAATGCAAATCTTTGAGAACTTCGGACGCCGTGTTGGTGGCACGCTGCGTGGAGTAAACCATGAGGTAAACAGGAATCTGTGCAGACAAATCAACATTAGCATGTGAACGCGCCCCCCTCCCCCGCGCGCGAACACGCCCAGCAGCAGCCTACTGTCTCTGTATAAAAACCCTGAGTCCCCGTGCCGGAGTACGGAGGAATCTCAACCCCTCAGGTGAGTGGAAGGACGCTGGGATGCATTAAATGTATTTCTGACTTTTTTTAATGCTCAGCTTGAACCACTTTATTTACTCTAGGTGGTTGATTTTTTCTTAACTCTTAGCATATGAGCTTAACATCTGGGCAGTATTTGTGCTTGTGACAATACATTGTTGATACTCATGTTTTCTTCTTTTTATTTTTTAGGTGTATCTATCTGTCCAACAACCATGAAGGCTGTAGCTCTGATATTCGCTCTGGCAGTCATCGCCGGTATGTGCAACTCTGGTCCAGTATTTCAAAATGTTTTTGTATGGTTGTATATTTATCTAACCTGTCACCTTTGTTCAAATTAGGCTGCAATGCCCGTGTTGTGCGCCAAGCTGATGCCACCCCACAAAACTGGGAAGAAACTGTGGATCGTTTCTGGCAGTATGTCTCTGACCTGAACGAGAAAGCTGATGGAGTCGTGCAGGACATCAAGGTCTCCCAGCTCAGCAGGGAGCTAGAGTAAGTGAACCATAATCATTTATATTTTGTTGAAACTTCAAATCCTCTCAGTTAAATTCCTTACTTGTTCATACATCTCTATAACCTCATCCTATGCCTCCAATCCTAATTTGTAATTTATTGTCCATCCAGCACTCTGATCTCAGACAGCATGTCAGAGTTGACCGTATACAGGGAAAGCATCCAGTCCAAACTTGCTCCCTACACCGAAAGCTCCACCGGCCAGATGTCTGAAGATCTGCAGCTGCTGACCAACAAGCTCCAGAAGGACATGCTGGACGCCAAGGAGCGCAGCACTGAGTACCTGGGCGAGCTGAAGACCATGATGGAGCAGAACACCGATGACGTTCGCGGTCGCATCAGCACCTACACCCACAAGCTGAAGAAGCGCCTGAACAAGGACACTGATCAGATCCGCAAGTAAGTAGGGTGGAGGGTCTCAAACGTACCCATTTCTTGTCTTTGTGTTCTTGAAATCTAAATGTTTTTCTTCTTCTTTCCCCACCCAAGCACTGTCGCCGCCTACATGGGTGAGATCCAGTCCCGCACCTCCCAGAACCTGGAGACAGTGAAGGAGAATGTTGAGCCCTACGTCCAGCAGGCCAGCGAGGTCGCAGGCAAGAAGCTGAGCGACATCTCCACCATCCTGAAGAGCCAGGCCGAGATCTTGACCGAGCAGCTTGAGTCCCAGGGCGCAGGCATCAAGACCCAGCTGGAGAACACCGCCCAGCTGCTGCGCTCCTCCCTGGACAGCAAGATCGACGAGCTGACCGAGATGATCTCCCCCTACGTCGCCCAGATCCGCGAGCAGATCGATAACATCGCGGTGAAGGTCCAGGAGGCCTCTGCATAAAGACTTCTTAATACCCTGGCAAAGATGGAGGAAGGCGGGGAGTTGAGAGTTACTGTTCATATCTTCATTTTGGGGTGTTTTTGTTCAGGGTGAGGGGGGTGGAAGAGATGAAGGAAGATGAGGTTGTCTATACAGAACAGTCAGCAGATACACATCTGTTAGTTATTCTGCACAGTCATCCTTTCTTATCTTATCAACTCCCTTAACTATTGAACACCAGCCCCCCAGTCGATAACTGCCATTAATACTCAAACAGTTTTGTTATATGCTTCATTGTTTAACTGCTCTGTCTGTCCTCCCAAGGTTTTGTACATTTCGTTAACCCCTATCATCTCTAAATACACACCCACGTGTCTTTCATTTCAAATAATGCACTGAGTTATGATGATCAGAAGATAGTGAACCACTAAAGTGCCCTTCTGTATTATCTACATTTGCTATTGTGCCTCACAGAGAAGTGGGATGTAAAATGAATTGATGCTTTTCTGACAAGAGTGTAACGCTCTCCGTTCTTTACTCTGATGTAGTTCCCACCATGCTGCTCACTGTAAGTGCACTGTGTGCTGAGAGAAAATAAAGAACTTGGAAAATATGTTTTGTTTACATTGTTTTCTTCACACTCCCTCTGAGTTAGGGAGCAGAACACACATCTTTCTGAGACGTATGTTAGTGAAAGAGCTGTAAACACATCTCTTGGCGATTTGTCAAATTAAAACACACCAAATATGTGCATGGGTTATATCTCTGAAAGGTCAACATTTGGTTATATAAGCTTTCATTATTTACAAAAACGATCTCTTTGTTTCCATTGTTTTCTTCTCTAATAAAAGAGTAATCAATCATTAGGACAAGGGTTCAGTAACTTGACATTACATGTACTGTATAAGTATCACACATTTAACCAGTATTTTATTATTTAAAAATATAAAACCTAATACGGTTTTAAAGGGACCCCTTTTGTGCTAATATTATCAACCTGATTAACTTCTTTGCTGATTGGTGCCTTATATTAAATTCTCCACAAGAAATACATCTTAAAGTCTTCTCTCTGCACATGCACGCAACCCCAATTCTCCACCCTTCTCTCGCCCTGCCATCAGAGCAACCCCCGCAAGTCCAGACTTGTTCAGATGTAATCCCAGGTTCCTTTCCCTCCATCCAAACCGGTACTTGGGAACATGTTGTGCCATTGGTAGTATCGTTTAAAGGCTGCACTATCATGTCTACTTTAGTTTGTGCTCATATTAACATATAACTTCAAGTTTCAAGGCTTTATTGTCATTTGTACATTAGATACAGTGTAGATGGCAATGAAACACTTAGGTCACAGGCTCCTCCAACAGTGCAACATATAGGACAGAACAGATAAATCACAAAAAACTAGTGCAAGAGAATTATAATCATGCATTAGTGGCTTTTTATGTGTTTTCTCAGATTGGCCCCAAAAGAGATATTCAAACAGAGCCAGATAGTGTTTGTGCCAACATGCGCGTACAGAATGTGTTTTGCAAGCACGTGCATCAAGGTGGCCTAGTGGTTAAGATGCATATCAATAAAATGTTTCTGACAAAGGATCATTTATGCATGTCTTACTCCTCTTTTTCCCCATCTGTTTCCACATTGTCAGCTGTTTTAAAAAAGGTCAATTTAGTTAATTATTTATATTTTAAATGACCTAAACCCTGAGAAAGGCAACTGTCCCTATCAGAAAGTGTACCAACTATTGCCCATCATTGACCCAAACTGAGGTTGGTCACACTTTTCCAATGTAAACTTTCAAAAAGTCTTATGCTCATGGGCCTCAGCAGGGGCCAGTAGAGGACACCATTTGTCCCTTGTTCCTCTCCTCTTGTCTGACCCTTTGCTTGAGTTTGTGCTCCGTGAAGATTCAGCTGTGTTTTCTTTGCACAAAGAAACACACTCCCTCTGAGTTAGGGAGCAGAACACACATCTTTCTGAGACGTATGTTAGTGAAAGAGCTGTAAACACATCTCTTGGCGATTTGTCAAATTAAAACACACCAAATATGTGCATGGGTTATATCTCTGAAAGGTCAACATTTGGTTATATAAGCTTTCATTATTTACAAAAACGATCTCTGTGTTATTATAAGAAAACATGTTTACCCTTTCTATCTGTGTTAAAGGGCATTGCATAACACCATGACTACGTGTTTGTCCCCTATGATATCACTCCTTTCAGGAACCTGTGTTTATTTAGAAAAAAACAGACAAGCGAAACTGCTATATTAAACTGTCCATTGTTGCAACGATCCATGACTGATGGTAAAAACAGGAAAACCACAAGCTTTCTGCCCGTTCAGCACTTCTGCTCCGTCTACTCCTATAGGAAGGCTGCACTCTGAGTACTACCCTGCAACAGCAGAAAGTCCCAGCAAACTAGCAGGTGTTAGCTTGTCTGTGACTGCAAGTAACCCCTCCAAAAACACCACATGCAGAGATCTTACCTCCTATTACAACCCCCTCTGTTCTTCCCGTCATTTCCCTCCCCTTCAGAACTGGCACACACAACCAGGCACCACAGGAACACTTGGCCAAACACAAAAACAGTCTTTTTGTAAGCTTGTTATTGCAAATTGGGAGCATGCAAGACGTGCACTTTCACGCCCTATGCCTCCTGCAATTATTCAAGATGAGCTTAAATGCACGCGAGCACAAGCTCATACATAAACCCACTGGCCACTACATGACAAAAGATCGAGAGGTAATGTGTGGGTGTTGAGGCAAGTGAAGGCTTATTTAAATGGCTTTACATCCACAGCAATAGCCTTCATGGGCCAAGTCATCAGCAACACATGGGCATTTGGCCGTTTGCAGCAGAGCACTTTGTGTGAGAGCCGATACGTTAAGCAGTGATGAAGAAGCCTTCAAACCTCACGCACAGACTTCCTGGCTCTAACTCAGGTCACAGTCGTAATGAGGGGTTACTGCAGTTCAACTGACTGTACTGTTTTCCGTTGCATGCTAACGTACAAGATAGACCACATGAGGCTTTGTCAGACTTCCTTCCCCTCTAAGAAAGGGAAGGTTATGGTTAAAGACACATCAATTAGGCAAGGGACTATTTCAGTAGAGCAGTAAATGGAAAAACACACCAAAACACAATGGGACGTTGCAGTCTGCTTCAGATCAGAGGCCTCTGTCCTTTTAACTTATTTCGAAATGTTTAACAAATCAGTTATGTTTAATCAGCAGATAATACCATATAATATAGAATTAATACACATTAAAAACTGTGATAAAAGGACACAGGTATTTCCATTTATACTGAAATATGGTTATGCTACCTCATTTTGTAATGTTACTACTTACTTTTCTAATTGATCTATTATATTTAAGATGGATAATCTTTGTGCAGTTTAGTATGATGATTGTTGTGTTATTCTTACCCCCCCTCACTTTAAAAAAAAAAATTCATTATTGTCTTTTTACTGTAAATTGTTACCACATCATTTCACTTTTCATTATTAATATTAATGTCAATGCTACACGTTTTTATTTTTTATTATATATATACATTATTTTAATTCACACATTTTGCACTGTGTATTTTATTTTTAAACTGTACACAATGTATTTTATTTATTTATTTGTAGTAATGGTTCTGTCAATACTAGTAGTTTTTATTTTATTTCTATTTTATGTTTGTAAAAATTCACTTATTTGTTTTGCATTTTAACTCTAACTGTAATTATCTGATTTTAAAGTATACTGTCACTATTGAGATATTTCCCCCCCTCAACGTTTAAAGCAATGTTGAATATATAATTATTTTTTAAGTGTAGTATCCCACTATGTAATGCAAAGGTATTCAAGAAGTGAAAAACGTTTTAGAAAAATGTAATTGATACATAACAGATGTGTATTATCCTCACAAAACTACCTTTTATTTGGTCATGCCTTTACAAATCCAAATGTCAAGCAGTACAGTTACTTGGTATAGTATTATACATCTTAATTAGCCATTATGACCAATAAAGGCAACCCTTGTTTTGACACAGAGGGCATGCATGGCCAACACTAAAGGTCCAAAGGAGCTTCCAAATAGCTCAGGAGGTAATGCTATCAGGGCTGAACTATGCTCCCCTGCATCACATCTCATCTTTGACACACTTTGTGGCAGGGGGAGACTGATCACATCATCATTTACATATCAAGTTAACCCATATTTCTCCTGGTCTTACCTCCACATAGAGATCGCTACAGTCTCTGATTAACGACCCATTGTTTGCAATAATGATTAGATCCTGCACAAAGTGATGACTTTATCTACCTTTTCAGTGTGCTGCATAAAACATAATCATGAAGGCTATAATCAGTCATCTATCTTTTAATGCAATTGCACGCTGCTGGCCAGCAAAGGGGGCAGTGACACCTCAAGGTCTCCACGTGTACATGTTGACTGAAGTCTGTTGTTTCTGCGTCAGCCTCCGAGAGCGCAGCGGGCTTATAAAGAGGAACTCACATAGACTCTCAAACACACTCAATTTTTTCCCTCCTCTGAGAAGAACAACAGGTATGTCTGACATTTAATTTGCATCACTGCTAGAATAAAAAAAGAATAGCTGCATGCTTCTAAACTATAGGACACGGACGATAAGACTTTAAAAAAACTATCCTCAAGTTTCTATGCAAACCCTTGCTGATACCTAAGGGGATTTGTTTGTTAATATTGACGACTGAGTGTCACACGGAGTAAATATGGTTAAAAGTTTAATTGTGTACCTTAAGTCTGGATAATTGTATTTGTAGTAGTTAATCATTACATGTAACTACACGTAAATGGAGCTGTCCAGCCGCCGTGGTGCTGACGGTAATGCGCTGCTTTTTGAGAAAATAAATGAGTCATTTTGTATTCTTGACTCATTACACTTTAAAAAAAAATATATACTTATAACCCGTAGCCTGTCTTTTTCTTCCCCCATTCAGAAATTCCCAGCCAAGATGAGACTGTACCTGTAGTTGACACTGCTGGTGCTGGCTTTGCCGCATTCCACGTTATGCTCCGGTGTTAATTTAAGAAAATAAACTCCAAGCTACGTTTCCGTTCATGCTGTGTAACTTTTTCTGTTTCTGTTCCAAACCTGCAGAGGCTCAGGAGGCGGAAGCGACCATGGAGGAGAAATTTGCTGTGTTCACAAACCAGATGGGTGAGATGGGCAAGAAACTGGCAGACAAGGCCCAGATAACCTTTGAAGACATCAGAAGCAGCGAATTTATTGCCAGCTCACAGTAAGCACGAACGCAAACGCTCTCTCTCTCACACACGAAATCTCACACACACACACAAACACATACACACACACACACACACACACACACACACACACACACACACACACACACACACACACACACACACACACACACACACATAATGCTCATTTTATTTTTGTTATCCTCCCCAGGACCTGGTTGGAGCAGCAGATTGAAAAGGTGAAGCAGAAGTTCAGTGACATCAGCCAGTGAAATGGCTGACTTCACCTCTGACCTCTGCACACATTGCTCTGCTGACCAGACACAATATCTATGTTGCCTCTCTGTAAAGAGATGTTTTTTTTTTTATAATTTCAATATAATGTTTTCGAAGAACCACTGTGAAAAGTTTCAATAAAGACACTGGGGAAAAAAATAAAGCTGTGCTTTAATGTTCACATATTCTGTTTAAACGTTAGTGATTTTCTATAGAAATAGATGTGCTGAACTGTGTAATACATGAGCAGTTGTTGTGGTGTCACACAGAGTGGCCGCCTTATGTTATACAAAACACTGCAAGTCATTTCTAATTGTTTTCAGATTTATGAGATCGTTATATACTTATTTATACATTTATAATACGGGGAAACAACTCATTGAGGGGCTAGGGTTATACTCAAATGACCTGACTCAATTATAATCTCAGTTTTCTAATTATATAGATACACATTTGTAATCTTTAGACATTGTAAACCTTATGGCAGACGTCCAACACAAAACACTTGTCAGATTTATTTCTGTATTTGTTTGAAATATTACTTTTTACAGACAGAGCCTGCTGTTTGAATACAAGCTGTTTTTAAACTAAACTCTTACATTACTGAATAAACAGTCCATATGTACATGATATAAAGGCTATCAAACAAACATGTTAATGATTATACAAATTGGGGAAACCATCGAATCTAATGGCAATTTAAAAACAGTTGGAATAATCACAAATAAAAAGAGGCCTTGGCTGGATTCAGATGTAAACCGTTTTAAACACAGTGTTATATGAAACCTAGATTCATACGTGTTGTATGGCACTAAATAATTATTTTACCTATAATGATATTAAAGTCTAATATGAATGAGATTTGTTTCTTCATTTTATGAGAAAAGTGCTGACATGTAAGATATTACTTTCTTGTTGACAACCCAAAGCTGTAAATGGATATTGATAAAGTAGAAGTCTTTGCAAATTAGCCGTAGCAATTTATTTTGTCACATCTCGAGACATATATGATAAAAAACTCTTGAATTCATAAAAACTTTCCAATTTCTGATCACAACGGGATTTAACGTTTGACCAATTAAAATAATAAATAACTTATATGAATAATTAATTTGATTACTTCATCCTAAAGTCAATATCATCCCTGAAGCCGATTACTTAACCAACAGAAGCTTCTGGTAGGTAAGAGTTGATTTGTGCCAATATCTAGTACCAAAGGGCAAGTGCCAACATGGCTGCTTTTCACGCATTTCACAACTCCCGGGCTAAAGTCACTGTTTATGCCGGGTTAATGATCCACCAGTTGGCCCAGTTCAATGAATCCTGTTCCTGTGAAGAGAACAGAGTGACAGAGGTCAGCAGCTGCAGAACAGAGGTCACAGGTTATGATCATATTGCATCAGATGAGTGAGAGGAAATCTACTTGAAATTAATTTGGGGTCAATTTGTTTTAATGTCAGGGAAACTGCGACTTCTTGTTCAGAGAATAGACATGTTAAGGAAAGTTTGCTCTTCAAATGGTGGATCGTTTGGTGTAACACTGTGTAAACTGATTAAAGCAAATTGACACTGAGATTAAAGAAGTGTTTTGTCTGCAACCACTCAAAGCTGGAATAAAAACCGAGATGTTCCGATATCATTTTTTCGAATAATCGACATTTTATTCTAAGCGAAACCCAATCCGCTTTACTCTCAAATACAGTCTTTTTTAAAACCAACTGTTTTAGAATTGCTTGTATATGATTTTATTTATATTTGATACTTCTGTTGGTTTTACTCTCTGTGTTCTTTAGTGGCTGTTTGTAAGCTAATTGTATTCTCCGTGTTTCAAATCAAATCAAGTTTTATTCATAAAGCATATTTAAAAACGATTTTTGGTCGAGCCAAAGTGCTGTACATGTAATAAAAGCACACTACAATAACATAAGAAACAAAAATAGAAAAGACAATAATTTACAACAGACATATAAAGACAAAGCACAGAGAAATGTCAGGTGTCATGCTCAGTCTTCAGTGAAGACCCCTAGGGTCTGGGCCGACCTCACATGGAGGGGCAGACTGTGCATATACTGTGTTTGTATTAATAAGTCATGTGAAAGCAGTTAAGTAACTCGGTTTGAAAGAAGCTATATATGTTCATTGTTATTTTAATTTTTTAAATGTAAGTGTATACACTGTATACTTTTGTTGTCATTATAAAATGATTTGTTGCATAATGGAAGGATGCTCTTTTTAAACTCACAAATATACACTGGAAAAAATGCTTCTCCAAAAACAAGTAAATATATAATAAAAACAAGGTGTTTTCGCTTTTAATAAATTAACAAATCTGCCAATAGAACATTACATTACATTAATAATAATAAATAATAATAACTTGAATTGATATAGCGCCTTTCATAACCTCAAGGTCGCTTTACAAAGAAACATACAAGGACAAGACATAAAAGATTAAAAAAAACATGACATTACATTTAGCTGACGCTTTTATCCACAAGTAGAAAATCGCTCGGTAAGATGTCTTGAAGTAAACATGGGATAATTAAATAAATTAGATGTTCTTTTTAGCTGGGAAAACTTATTTTGAACTATATTTGACCAGAATTTTGGAATTTTTAACAAAAAAAAACAGAAATGTTTAGACATTTTCAGTTTTCTGATGTAGTTGAAGATTTCCTATAAAATAAGATGTTTTTAAGAGACTTTGACTTAAAAAGATGCCTTGTCTAAAAACAAGACTTAAGTTATTAAGTCTTATATCAAGGGTAACGACATATTCTGACTAGAAATTAGACAAATATACTTGGAAAGATTTGACATTTTTGCAGCAAAGCACAGATGTTCAAAAACATAACACACAACCTAATAACAGGTCAAAATTCAGATTTGTTTACACAGCTGCGGGATCAGGTTTGTAATTCTAGTTATGAACTCTAACGTCGACACTAGTGTTGATTTGTTTTCATTCATAACACGCAGCGAGCACAGAGCGGAGTAATGAGAAGATTACATTGACTTTGAGGATGGACTCTGCCCAACAGAAACGCTTGGCTTGGCTAAACAAACTTTTATCAGAGACAGAGACTTTGACTGGCCTGTATACATAAGTGTGTTGAGACATCTAATCCAAAGGGCGCTCAGACAGTTAGTGAACTCTGCTAATGTTGATCTTGAAAAGACATCAAGAGTTCAGGATCTGACATTAACATTTAACACAGATAACATTTAGCGGAGAAAAGAGACACTCTGAACCAATGGCAAGTATGTGATCTAGGTTTCAATGAAATCATGTATGTTTGCAAAAAATGACATAAATAAATTCTTTCTCTCTCTCTACATTTTTTAAATCCATTTATCTTCACATGTATCTAATAATGCTTTTTATTATTTGATTACAGTCTTAAAGACACAAAGATAGGTCCCTTTGCCACACTTCAGTGTTGCTTTGCTATCTCTCAGATTCTGTCAATAAAAAGACAAAAACAACGTGTTGAATGATTATTCGCTCTGGCCAACGTACACGCGGTTGCGGTGACCTAATACAAATAAAATGGCTTGATAGCACTTGTATGATTCAACTTCTGTTGACCAGAGCCAAAGGAAAGGTAAAGATACACTTTGCCACTCATTTGTACTTTGCTGCGATGACTATTTGAACAATTAGCGTTAAAATCGGGAATTTAATTTGATAAATTGATGTTTTGTTGCTTAAAAAGGAGCAAAACTGAACATAATGTGCTCATAACAACACGTTTGCAGTTGTGACATGTAGTTGAGGTTGTCTAAATGTGCTATATAAATAAATAAAGATTGAGATTTGAACTTGACCATTTCGGCGTTATTGAAATAATATTACGCCTTCTGACGGTTGTGTTTCTCATGACAGATGCATACCAAAGAGCTTGTGTTCGGCCTCATCTTACTAATGCAAGGTATGACTTTAAAAGTAATTATTCTAGTCATTCAGTCCTTTTATTTCTGAGCTTGTCCTCCCTCACTGACAAACATCCTCCTCTGCAGCATGTGGACCTCTTTTGGCAAAGACAAAGGCTCCAAAACAACCCAACTCTCCAGGATTCATGCAGTGGCTGGTGGAGACATTCAGGTATCATCCTCACTCTCACCGTCATTAATGCAAACAATTTGGACTCATTTTAAAGATAATATCTGAATTGTTAACATTCTTCATGGTCTCTGTGTACTCATGCATCTCATAGGGAAGTCAAAGCTGCATTCCAGGGTTATATGGGTCCAGTGCTGGACTTTCTTTACGCTTACTACGAAGACCACATCCAACCAGTGACTAGCAGCTGCTTTCAATGGTTCTCTAGCGTGTGGGAGAAGATCCGTACAACCATTTTCAACCACAAGCCACTGCAAGCAGCTAATCCAACGGATTCCGGGACAAAACTAAAGAATAGCTGGCAATAAATGAATATTCCTACCACATTACGAATCTGTATTTCTTACCACTCGATCCTGAACATATCATAAGATTTCACTGCTGGTTCTGTCCAATATAGACATGTTGTTTAAGAGTGTATTGTGCTGTATGGACACAGTTTGTCATGCATAAATGCACCTTGGCCATTACCCGAAACATAAATGTAGCACGTAAAAGGTATAGCCCATTCAAAGCTAATGCACCAACATCAAAGAATGTAAGCCTTACTTTAAGTGAATGAACTGCAGATGTGTGTTTGTTATGGTTTTATTGCACTTATTTAAGTCACAGGATTTAATGTTCTGGAAAAATATGCAAAGAAAGAGAGGTAATAAACAAATACAGAATAAAAAAAAGCTATCAATCATTATAAAAACGGTCCCTAAAATCACTTTGCATGGAGTCGATTTCAGGGAATTAAGGTGAAAGGTGAAGGCAGTAATCCCAGCATGCATTGCTCTGGGTACAGCACAGTGTGTCTAGACCTGTCCTGGTTGATTGACCTGCTGACCATTTCACTCTGATCTATATCTGAGCAGGCATTTTAAAGTGAAAAATGTTGGTTAGCTGGAGTTAATTTGCTAAAAAAATATATTTCTTTGCACTGGCAACAATACATAAGCTGCCTTAAAAGTGTTTCGTCGATTTTGACTCACATGCACCATGAGGTTTTGCAAACACTCCACTAATGCAGTATTATCAGCAGGGCTCCAAGTGCATGCCACATGAACACATGAGCTTACACTGGAGAAACATTGCATAACCACTGACTCATATTTCAACGTATGATTTTTAAGGGGAATATCATGTACAATGGACTTTGTGTAGGTGGACATGTGTGTTTGTGTGAGTGCTCATGTGCACGCATGTGTGTGTAGGTGTGTGTATGCTCATCAGATGACGTTTGTTTGCAGTCCCCCCCTATATCATCCTGTCCAGATGTGAGCTCCCAGTTACAGACAACTCGCTTTCAGAGAACACTGTCACTTCTTGGACTTGTACATCCAACCCAACCGCAGGTAACGTCTCTTTTTACTGCAGCTTTTATTCTGTACTACATTTAGGTATCTGACTTTTGCATTCAGTTTTATATTGATTGACAAAACAGAGTTCCTTTAAATTGTTTTATGTTTCTCTTTTGTTTCAGACATGAATGCAAAATACACTTTGGCACTGATCCTGGCTCTGCAGGGTAAGGCACAAATACCAATGTGATCTGAAGAATTGTAGTGTATGGATTCGATGTTTAACCACTTTTTGACCATGTAAAAAGTAGAGCATATCAACTGAAACACAGAGAAAGATTTGAAGCGATGAAAATGCTTCTGCTTTTCTTGCATTGTGCATGTAATTGTGTTTTGTTGCAGTACTTAAAAAAACACTTTTGCATGGCTTGCTGCTGCTCTGATTTATCTGCAAGACAAAGATTGATTTTTAAATAACACACTGAATAGTCAAAGAAATCTGTCATTGAATTGCCAAAAGGGAAAAGTCAAGATATGCAAAGCAGCTCTTCGTTGGTTCTTCGATAGTTCCTCCAAAGCAGGATTCCTAAATATACTTAGTATCTCTTGATGTTCTTTTGACTTCAATTCATCTGGTTTTGATTTTGGCAACACTGGTCCTATCATAACAGTCCAACCATTCTGATTTCCTTCCAGTCTCCATGAGCCTGTGTGAGGTTGCCCAACCATCCCAGGAACTTGTTGACAAGTATGATGCCATGAAAACGGTCTTCTACAAGAGGCTGCTGACCGCTTTCTCCAAAGTGCAGGCTGTCGCTGCTCCCATGGTGGAGGATGTCGCAACCAGTGAGCGTGGCCAGGCTGCCAAGGACTACATCGAGCTTGTGCAGACCAAGCCCCAGTTTCAAGCCGTCGTCAAAGTTGCCACGTAAGTTTTCAACAAGGAATTTGCTTCCTGTGAAGACCCTGTATTATTAACCAAAATAAGGACAGCTTTTCTGAACTGCTTTTAGTTTAAAATCCATATCCACTACAAATGTGCAGTGAATTCCAAAATGAGATTGCTCTACTAAGATACTGAATGCCTCTTCTTATGAGTTTTCTTTAAATAATTTGTCTTCCCTGACTTGCAGTGGCATGGTAGAGGAGGTATCTCCCCTGATGGACCAGGCCCGTTCCTCACTGCTGGGTCTGTACGAACACTACGTGCGCCCCCAAGTTGGAAGCCAGCTGAGCGACGCCATCGACGGCATCAAGGTCTACCTGGACAAATACATGCCCGCAGTATAAAGAAGAGCAACTGCAGCTAGCCTCGTGTCAGCAGCCTGTTAGAGATGATAGATCATAGAAACAAACACACGTTTAGGCCGAGAAGAGCAATGCACAATGCAAAAAATACTATCTTTTTGAGTTTCAAACAGGGCGAATATCCCCTATGCTAACTGTGCATGTAACGTATTTTGTGTTTGATACACTGACCAACATGTCTGTGTGACTGTGTATGTATATGTGTGAGTGTGTTCATTAAAATGAACTGGAAACTATGCAAAGTGTGCTTCTTCATCATGACATGCGACGTTTACTTTCACAGTTGATATCATACAGCTTCACTTTGAATATAATGTATTTTGTTCATAGGGACGAAGCATTTTAGCATAATTCAGATACAGAGCATGACATTTAAATGGTTTTCAATACCGAACCCTAATACTAGTTTGTGGAGTGAGCTATAATATATTATTTTAAGAGTAGAAGAATTGTCTTAGACTCCACTAATCACGGGGATGTACTATGCATTTTATTTAAAATGAAACAATTAAATATATTGCTACATACATGAAGATCATTCAATCAAACATTATGGAGCTGTTTTGTTTATATCATCAGCTGCCAGTTCGACACTATTGGTACTGTCATATACAATGAATGATGAGATAAAGTGAACTGTATTTCTAACAGGTAGCTCAGGCTCAGTTTTGGGCAAATTTAGGCAAACTGTGTTTCCAGAATTTTGAAAATCAGCAACATCTTTATGATCAAACAACCAAACCACACAGATTATTATTAATATAGAAATAAATAGTTGAAGACAATTGATCAGTGCGATTACAGTGAACTCAATGAGCCATTTTGAAGAATGGCCTGTTTAGTGAGAGCAGCAGAATGAACTCATTCTTATTTTCCATCTCATGTCTCAGACAATTTTTGTATATGGATATAGATATATCCTTACTGTTTTAGTACAGGTTTCAAGACATGACACCACACACTGTCATTGCCGGCAGTGTCATTTTGCAGCTTAATATAAACCGTAGCGGAGTACATTCATCACAGCATTGAATGAGCTGGATTCAATCAAAACCACAATCTCTCGAACAGTTTGAATCCCACCGTCAGCTGTCCTCAAAGCGCCCCGAGTCCCCAGGTCGACGGCAAACATGACATGTTTACTCAGGCCTGGATCAACACGTAGACTTCACAGAGAAAATGAGGTCTTAAAACCCAAAACGTGAGATCAAAGCTGAGATTTCACTGTCTTTGTATAAGAGATGCAAAAAAGAGAACAATGCTGGTTTGGAAGTTTGTTGATTAGAGTAGTGTTTTTCAAAGTGGGGGCCCCGACCCCCCGGGGGGCCGCCAATGGGCACCAGGGGGGTCACGCTAAGTTGGAGGGAATCGGGATCTTTTTTTTCTTTTTTTTAGTTTAATCTTTTTTTTTGATGTTATTAATAACTGTATATCTATCAATCTATGTATCTTTTGATGCCAATCTTTTAATATTTGTTGTTTTTGAATCACATGACTGCCCTTCAAGCCAATCAGAATCAAGCTGCCGCTACTGAGAGTAAAACTGAGTATCTGCTCAGCTTTTGGAGCAAGTGAGAGCTAGTGAATATTTCGCTCTGCAGCTGGGAGCTGGATGTGCATCAGATTTATTTCAGAAGACAACTTTGTTGAGGAAATATTATTTTGCAAAGCACTGGAAGGTAGGACCACATGAAGAGACATTTTCCAAGTTTTAGATGAGTACATCATCTCAAACGGACTTGACTGGTCTCGTTGTGTGGGTGTGTGTTCGGATGGGGCAGTGGGGCTATGACAGGCAAAGAAAGCGGAGTGACAGCTTCGATCAGGCAGAAGGCCCCAAATGTAGTGGCAACGCCCTGCATGTTCCATCGGGAGGCACTTGTACACATCATTAAAAAAAATGCAACAGGGGGGTCCCCGCCAGAGGATAATGCTATATGGGGTCCTTGGCATGGCAAAGTTTGGGAACCCCTGGATTAGAGGATAAAACAATGTTCTTAATTCATAGACACATTATATAAGACTTGTGTAAACTTGTGGTCCAGAGGTGGAAGAAGTACTCAGATATTTTATTCAAGTACGAGTAAAAATATCACAGTGTTGAAATACTCTGTGACAAGTATAAGTCTGGAATTCAAATGTTACTTAAATACAAAAGTATAACAATCAAAATGAACTTAAAGTACCAAAACTGAAAAGTAGCCTACTCATTATGCAGATTGGCCTTTTTTAATAATATCTATTATATTGCTGGATTCTAATTAATGATCCATTGTGTAATATGGACATCATTTGTATCTGTTGGGGATACGTTTAGAGACTTTAGAGCAGGGGTAGCCAACGCGGTGCCCGCGGGCACCAAGTCGCCCGCAGGGGGGAAATTGGTCGCCCGCGTGCATGTTCTAAAAATAGCACAAGTCACCATGGAGCTCCGTCTAAAAAAATTATTGAATACATTTTTATTTTTAAAATGAGAATATTGAATATAACATTTTAAAAGCACACATTTTGTATGTACATATGTAAGTGAAATGGAGATTTGGTGCGTGAAATTGAACTCCGATAGGTTCAGAGTTGAACTCCACGCACCAAATCTCCATTCCACCTTTAGCTGAGACAAGCTAGCATGAGCAGCTACGATCATGGGCCTCATCACACACACACACACACACAGCAGTGGTGAGGATCTCAGCCTGCCACTGACGTTCAACCAGAAAACATCAGCNATCTCCGTTCCACCTTTAGCTGAGACAAGCTAGCATGAGCAGCTACGATCATGGGCCTCATCACACACACACACACACACACACACACAGCAGTGGTGAGGATCTCAGCCTGCCACTGACGTTCAACCAGAAAACATCAGCAGTTAGCTGTTAGCAGTTAGCAAACAGAGATCACAGCTCCTCATATCTTTTCAGAAACTGGAGAAAAGTTAAACAAGTACAAACCACAGACTGTCTGTGTCATGGCGAATACAGTCGCTGGTTTATTTATGTCTGTAGGCCGTTGTTATGAGTGTGGAATGAGCATATACAACGTTAGCTTAGCCTGGTCGACCCAATCTCCATTCAGAAAAACAGCTTTTAAAAAGGTTTTTCGGCATGCCGTCTTGGTCTGCAGACTTGTCAAAGCATTAATTCATGATTTTTACTAACCGGTATCAGTATGGTTGTTACTTCGGCCATCATTTAGAAAACGGTATGCAATTTAATCATGGTAAAATGTGTTCATTTTGTTTAGTTGTAGCTCTCCCCCGAGCAGCGCGTCTTGTTTGAATGATGCAGTAACACAGCTGGCAGCAGCGGTGAAACTCGAGTGATTAGAGCGGAAGTCGCGTCCGGTGTGAACGCAGCATAACAACGACCCCTGATAGATCTCCATAAATATAGATACTATTTTCATAACAAGAACAATGGGGATTGCTATAGCAATGGGTAAAATCACTGTTAATAATTAATTGTGAGGAATAATTAACATTAACAATGTGGATCCAGACAGTCCTTTGCACATACAGTAAATTAAGTATGTAATGTCTGATTATTATTAAATAAGGGAGAGACGGAAATCATTAAAGGTGAACCGTGCAATTATGGTTATTGATGAGTTTGTATCAAACAAGTAGCCTTCGTATTTACTCAGTACCCTTGAAGTAGCCCTCGGTGACCCAAAGGTTGTGAACCCCTGCTTTAGAGATTCTAAAATGAACTTTCAAAGTCACAAAAGCTAATCTCTATCAAATAAATTGTGTGAGTGAGTAAACAAGCACAATATTTTCCTTCCAAATTTTTTGTGGATTATAAGTCTTGAAATTAAGAATAAAAATAAAAATACTCAAGGTAAAATACAAGTACCTCAAAAATGTACTTAAATGTGGGTTGCATCATTTTGGAGAAAACCAGCTTCGAGGTGTGCTAGAATTTGAAATACACAGCCGGAAAAAATCTGCCACTTCTTACAGAGCACCTCCTGCTCAACACACACACAGAAAGCGCACATGACCAATGAGGGCACGACGATAAGTTTTGTGCACGAGATGGAAGGGCTGACAGCGCAGGTAGGCCAATCCAGTTAT